AATGTATTTGTGCTAATAACATTGAAAACATTTGGTCTTTAATAATGTTAGTAGAATCATCTTCATCATGAGATGAAAAGACGGAATTATGACTTTCTAAGACATAATTATTACTTAGTATGTATTTTTTTGTTACCATTATGACTGTAAGTCATAATTTAAACTTTCTAAATCATAATTATGACTTTTTATGTCATGATTTCGACCTTTTTTATGTCATGATTATGATTTACCGAAGCTTCCATTCTGCTGCGCGTTTCTTCCAGTGTTTACGGTCGCTGGCGCGCAAGCCGGAAGTGTTTTTGTCCGCGGCTTCTCTCATTAAAGGATTAAACCTTCTTTTACTGTCTATGGATTAAACTTGTCCATATCTTCTGAATGCTTTGAGAAGGGAAGATCTTTGAGATCAGACTGAAGATGTTTGAAGATGAGATCAGACTGAAGCAGTGCACGAGGACGAGCTGATGCTGCTGATGCGCGCGCAGATCCTCCGCGCGCTGCCGATGCGCGTCACAGGCAAGCGTGTTCATCCATGGTGTTCACAGGTAAACAACTAAAGTAGTGATCTGCTCAATCACTGAATGCAAAAGACCAGTTCATTCACGGACCAGTTCACGGAGATATGTTTCGCTACCGTTCCGTCCCATTGAGTTATGAAAACATTATTTCTGAATGTAGCCTACCGTTTATATTATTCTTGGTTATGCGAACATTATATATGAATATAAGCCTCTGTTCTTCCTATAAAGCGATTGAGTCTTGGACAAAATTTTGGACTCAACTGCTCAATTTATATGCATTAGTTCTACGATCGCTTTATTAACTTTTTGAAGCGTAAAGTGGTAACTTAGTTTCGTAGTCAATGGAGGGACAGAAATCTCAGATTTAATCAAAAACACCTTTATCTGAGTTCCAAAGATGAAAGAAAGTCTTCATAATTAATGACATTATTTTCATTTTTGGGTGAACTATCCCTTTAATAGTTAATAACTAACGTTATCCCATTTTATGTTTCTGCAATTGCTGGAAGTGGAACGCTACTTTGAATGTTCTAGTAAACGTTATAGACAAACTTCCAAATAAAACGTTTCAGGAAAAAAACATGCCATGAACGATGTATAAATATTGTTTTTTTAAGAACATTATTAAAGACCAGATAACTCTTGCCACAACATTCTTCCAGTGAACGTTCGTTATTTGGTCTTTAATAATGTTTACAAAACGTTATCGTTCGTGGAGCGTTTTTTTTTTCATGAAACGTTTAGTTAAAAACTTTTTTTATCGTTACCACTTGTTACAGAATAGAGAACATTCAAAAGTAGGCTAATATTCCCATAATGTTTGAAGAATGATGGAATGTTTCCTATACCTTCACATAACCAAGAAAACACGTTTTTAAAATGTTTTGAACGTTCGTAAAACAGGTTTTTATAACATAATGGGAACGTTAGCTGTGTTTATAGTCTAGATTACTGTATAGAATAACCAGTTACACCAGCTCTGCCCATAATAAACTAGTTTACAACATGGATTTGAGCTAAAGTTATGCACATTATAGCAAAATAAACTTGTTACATTTTAAATAGTTAGCCATGTTACATTACGTTTTCAGTATTGACTTTAATTTATATAATTAAAAAAACGACATATTAATATTGATATTCAGAGCTGAAACACTCAGATCTCAGAGAGCAAACACTCCTGCAACAGAATATCTTATAAAAATGGTCATTACAAGATAATAATTAGGAATTCACTACCAGCAATTTCTGTCCCACATTATAAATATCTGTTTTTTGCTGATTTACATGAGAATATTAGTGTGTTACCGTAGTGTGTGTCCAGACTATAATCTTTCTTTGTTGGAATAAACACTTATAAAGTCACGAAACATCATAACTGTGTGATATAAAGTCGCAATTATCTTTGTTATTGTGTGGCGGGAACGAGCTTCCAGAGACATCAGTGTTACTGTCTCACACACACACACACACACGCACACACACACGCTCATATTAAAGGCCTTCACAGAGCTTTATTTGAGCGACTCATCAGAAATAATGTACAAAACACATTTATAAACTTCATAAACAGATGTTAAACTTTCTCAGTCTTACTTTTAAAGTTCAGATTCTCCCTTTTTATTTAAATGACTTGATTCAGGAGTCATTAGTGAACATGAACTAACAATAAAAAATCACTTATCAATTACAAATGCATTATTAAAATCAAGAGTTGTATCTGCTAATATGATGTAACGAGTGAATATGAGCTGTAGATTACACTCTTCCGCCGCGCGATAACTCGCATTTCTTTCTGCGATTTAGTAGAAAAATTGTTTCTGCACCAATTTTTTTCAGTGTAACAATAAATGTATTTTAATGTTAACAAAGATTAATAAATACTGTAACAAATGTGTTGCTCATTGTTAGTTCATGCATTAACCAGTGTTAACTGATGGGAACTTACTGTGAAGCGTTACCAAAACTTATATAAAACTATAGTTTTAATGTTTAATGTGAATAGTGATATGATATTTATTAAAGTGTAATTTATTCCTGTGATCAAAGCTGAATTTTCAGCATCATTACTCCAGTCTTCAGTGTCACATGATCCTTCAGAAATCAAGAAACATTTATGATTATTATCAGTGTTGAACACAGTTCATATTTTAGTGGAAACTGTGAATAATTTTATTTTTCAGGATTCTTTGATGAATAGAGAGTTCAAAAGAACAGCTTTTATATGAAATAGAATCTTTTGCTACATTATAAATGTCTTTAATGTCACTTTTGATCATTTTTATTTCCCTCACAAAAAATATTTCTACATGTTTCCCAACTGTTCAACATTGATAATAATCATAAATGTTTCTTGAGCATCAGATCCTCATATTAGAGTGATTTCTGAAGGATCATGTGACACTGAAGACTGGAGTAATGATGCTGGAAATTCAGCTTTGATCACAGGAATAAATTACACTTTACTGTATATTCACATAGAAAACAGATGATTTACACTGGAGTAATATTTCACAATTTTACTGTATTTTTGATCAAATAAACGCAGCTTTGGTGAGCAGATCTCTTTCAGAAACATAAAAAAATCGTATTTATTCCAGACTGTTGAGCACTAGTGTAAGTATACTGTAATTATAAGTGAAACTTATCGTGCAAAAGTTCAGTAATTCAACTTAAAAGGTGAAACTAATATATTATATAGACTCATTACATGCAAAGTGAGATTTTTCAAGCCTTTATTTGTTATAATTGTGATGATTATGGATTACAGCTTATGAAAACCCAAGTCAAAATTAGAATATTGTGAAAAGGTTTTCATATCTGTAAGCCATAATCATCACAATTATAACAAATAAAGGCTTGAAATATCTCACTTTGCATGTAATGAGTCTATATAATATATTAGTTTCACCTTTTAAGTTGAATTACTGAACTTTTGCACGATATTCTCATTTTTCGAGTGTCACCTGTAATAAATGCCCTATGTAATCTCTTAGAGACGGGTGTGCTAGTATTATGACAGATGAATATGGAATTTAAACAGCGCCAATTCAAACAAACATGAAAGTCTAATACGTGTTTGTTTGATTATACATCATAAAACCGTCACACTCGTTTACATCATATCATATTCATCATATCCTCACGAGAGTGTGTGTTCAGTGATCGTGTTGATCCCGCCGGACGGGCTTGAGATATGACAAATGCTCATATAATCTGTTATATACAGCGAGACTGTAAAAAAATATATTGCTCATTGTTCAGGGAATGAATGCACTTCAAAACATGGTGTTCCTCCTCTCGCTTTCCAGCACTAACATCTAAACATTCATAAATCAAGAGACATTTACTGGAGAAGAAGCAAAATGACTGAAGATATTAATGAGATGACATCGTTACGACTATATCAGCATGCAATATCGTGATGAAGAAATACGAGACTATATAGTTTAAAACA